ATCTATCTATCTATCTATCTATCTATCTATCTATCTATCTATCTATCTATCTATCTATCTATCTATCTATCTATCTATCTATCTATCTATCTCAACAGGTGCAATGACAGACTTAAATGTCCTTAAATTATAGGGTAAAGAAGGACAAATCAGCATGCACACACACTAAAAATAAAGAAACACAAGTTTGGTTAAATTAATATGCTTTAAAATAACAAGCTTGAAACTGTGGAAGCCCATTTCCGCCACCCTGATAAAAAAATAAAACTTGTGTCTCATAATTATGACTTAGCTATCTCTATGAGATAGCTAAGTCATAATTATGAGATACAAGTTTTATTTATTTTTTTATCAGGGTGGCGGAAATGGGCTTCCATATAAAACAATGAATAAATAAGCTTTTGGAAGTAAAAAATAAATTGTGCTTTTTGGTGAGATTAGTCAAATTAACTTGATCCTTGAAAAATCTGGAATGTCCATTACACAGCCTAATTTATAGTAAGAAGTTTCACTTCCGCATTTTTATCCAATCACAATTTACTCGCTTTGGCCTTTAGGCCAATCGTACGCAAGTATGGTCTATCGACAGCCAATAGAATCCCGCTATTCAGATCTGAGCCCGCCTCYCTTGTTAATTCAGCAAATTCCTGAAGTTGAACCGGACTGCAGCTGGAAGAATCGGTTTTTGTAGATGAATGGGTTCATTTTAAAGATGTGTCAAAAATAATCAAAATATGAACTCGTTTTTAACAAATATTACTCAGTGACAGTGTCACTGTTTGCCGCAAACTTGTGATTTGAAGACAACCACACTGTTGTGGACCTCAGGTGAGGACAAGAAGACAGCTAAAGAGAAAGCGTRGAGGCCGGACAGCTGGGGATGTCTCGCAGACTGTTGCTGCTCTTGTTCTGTCTGGAGGTGTTCAGACACGATGACCCGTCCGGGGCTAAGGTTGGACCTGAACCGAGTGCAGCCAAAAGTCTAATATGGGGACCAGGACTGGAGACGAACATTGTCCTCCCGGCTCGGTTCTTCTACATACAGGCTGTGGACAGCTCTGGTAAAAAGTYCGTACATGTTGTGTACCCTGGCTTGTTACTATTATCATGTTTGTTTTAACACAAACAAGCGTGACTACTGGTTCAGTTCACCATAGGTGTCCCTAAATATGCCTTTAAAAAATATCATAAATGATGAGATTATTTTAGACAGATTAAAATAGTTCTCACAAATTTATATTATTAATAATATTAATATAAGACAATTTTATTACTTATCTAAACAGACACTCATCTCATGTTGCGTGTGTTGTGTTCTTGAGACAATGAATGAATCTCAGAAAACACAAGAAACAAAATGCACACATAATCTGAAATGTTTAGTGAATTCTAGAACCGTATAAAAAGGTCTTGTGTATATATTAATAAAAGTGCAATAACTATTTGCAGGTATTAGTTTCTACGGTCCTTTGAAAATGCACATAAGAGGTCACAAATTTTGACATAGGTCCATCAAGGTATAAGATCACAACATTGACATAATAGTTGCATCTACTTAGAGATAATGTAACATAAATAAATAAATAAATAAATAAATAAATAAATAAATAAATAAAAGCAACATATCCGGCTTTATGTTGTATTTTGTATGGACAGTTTGTTGAAGAAATAGTGTGAATCAAAACTCATTTTGGAATGCTTCTGTCCTCCAAAACTGTATTATTAAATGTATTTTATTACCAGGCCATGTTTTCACTCATCATCTTGGGAGAATAGTTCATTTCGAATGCCACACTGCAGAGGTGTCATTGTTGCAATGTAACAACAATGACTTTAGTTGCCTTGATAAATAGCTGTTATTGTGTGTGGAATCGCTCACAAACTTAAAGTAGTCGAACAGTGTTGTATTTCTATTTTCCACACGTGCTGTCATGAAAATTGAAATTCTAAACTAGTCRGCTTTGAGTTGGCACAAAAGGGTAGCCTTGACCCCAGTCAGGAATGTTGGAATCAGATCTCATCTTTTGTCTCAGATTTTATTGTGGGCGTTTATATTCTGGGTGGATTCTCCAAGTAATGGTGTCACTTTTGCGCTTGGTTTTGGCTCATTTGTTCATCTTTATTCAGCCCATCTGCAAAAACAAAACCATTGTTTCCAAAAGAGACCTTAATGCGTGCCAACTCTAAAAGCCATAAGTATGGGGTGCCGTTTGTAAAGGTACACAGTCAAAAATTACCACCAATATTTTTGTTTTATTTAGCCTCTTATAAGAAAAAAAGATTTATTTTTCAAACTCAGTTTTTCACCAAATGATTCATACATTTATAAATGT